CGGGGGGGGGGGGGGGGGGGAAGGGAGGGTCTTGAGGAAAGTCATATTCTCTGTTACAAGGCGGCCTGGTCGCATGCCGCAGACCAAGCTATAACGAAAGCACGAATGAAGAGGAAGGTCTCGTGGTTCAGCCGGACTGTTCTCAACCGAATTGTTTCCACCCGCTTGTACTTGGTAGACTGGACGAAAAGAATCCTCCCTCGATGGCACGCTGCGTCGCCTGATTGACCCAGTAGGCATTGACCTCTGTTTTCAAGTCATAGGGGCCCCAGGAGCTGAGTAAAAGTGCCGTCTGTACCAATGCTATGCTCCTGTTCCATTGTGCGTTGATGTGAAAGAGGCTCCGAGCAACGTCAAACATGCGCTTTTGGCCTTCCACCACCAAGCCGAAGGGGCTTTCTTTGAGCGGGTGATCGTCGAGATATCCAAAAGCGCCGAAGAAAATGGCATGCAGGAGCATTTCATCAGAAAGGATTCTATGCTTATTGCGCTGATAGGGGATGAAAGTGTCGAAAATAGGTTGTCACCAGTAAAATCCTGGAACGGCTCGATGAGATGAGGAACACTGTGACGCTGCTCGAGGGATCAGCCACCCGAAGATCAGATCTCATGTGTCAAGCTTCTTTCGCACCTACACAATGAGATTCTGAAGGGAGAGGGCCTCTGGATAGACCTGTCGGAATGATTGCGGTGGTGGAGAACCTCCGGCCTCGGGGAACTTTCAACAAGACGCTCGCCGAGCCGGAACGGCAATAACGCTTTACATCCCCCTTAGTAAAAGAGGCTTCAACACCAGAGATGTATGATTCTGATGCCAGCCGAATATGGGCCGGACCTCCGTATTTTTGCGGAGCGATCTGCCACGATCTAAAGGCGCCAGAACCCTGAGTGCTGTGCTGCTCTGCTCACCCACCCACGATCTACCGAGCCCTATTTTGCACCCCTAAAAGCAAAAATGACAGAAGTGTCGACGCGCCAATGGTGTACAACACAGAGGCCACGGAGTGGCCCTCGTTTGAAATCAATCCCGCGATCAAAGACCTGATCTCGCGGTTTTTCAAGCTGCTCGACACACAGGACAGCAGCGTGGGCAACGTTCTGGCAGATGAGATCTTCGCACTCAACGGCCGTGCGGAGTTTGGAGGCCATTTCTTCAACGGCAAAGAAGGTCATTTCATTCGCACCAAATCCTTCGTGTTATGCTAGACTTCATGGTCCAGGTCCAGTCCAGCTCGCTGACGCCGTGCAACAGAGATTCGAGGGTCGAGAGACAGTGCCTGGAAAGTTGTGACGGAGCGGCGCCACGCTGTCCTCAAAGTCTTCTCGGCAGACCTAGAAGGCAGTGATTTGTCTTTAATCGGACACGTCGAGATGTCTTTCAACAACGGGAAGAGCGTCGAGGGCGAGTTTGCCGGACGATTGGGCGTCGAAGGCGCTACAGGCTCTTCTCCCAAACTGACGCTGTATCAAGTCTGGGCTGTGAGTGTTGAACCTTGATGTATTGGCCACAAACCGATCATCTGTGTTTGTTCTTTTGACACTGATTTGTTTTCCAGGACTCTGCCCCTGTCAACCGTGCTCTCATTCGTGAATGATCAAGATATAGTACTTCTTGGACGCACGAAAAGAACGGATTTTGTCCGATGAAAAACGAACGTTCTGGTGCATAGATGCTTACTGGTGCCTATTGAAGGCCGGCAATATGGTGGTTTCGAATATCATGATTCATCATGATGCATGCAAATAGATTATCGAAACGAGTAAAGCAGCTTTGATAGGGGAACAAGAGTAAAACACAAGCCACCATGAGTTTGATCTAAATGCTATCACTCTCTGGATCCAGACTCCTATATCAACAATGAGTTTTCTTTCTATCAGCGACTCCTTGCCTTTACATGTGTCTTCTCAAGCAGTCTCCACCCTCTAAAAAATAATACGTAAGTGATAGGATAAGAAACTCCATCGCTCAAAGCCGGCTTTTTGGCTCTTCCACTTGCTGCTTCAAGTACGAGTCGTGGGCGAATCTTTCAAAGAATTTCAGGCTTTCGGGGTTCATCACGGCCCCTGATGGCGTGATGACTTGGCCAGAGACAATTTGCTTGACTGCAAGTTCAATCTTCTTGCCATTGATGGTGTAAGGGATCTCCGGAACCTCGAAAATGAATTTTGGCACGTGGCGAGGACTCAGCGAAGTCGAGATGGCCGAGCGGACGGAGACGATCAGGGCTTTTGTCAAATGTTGTGAGTCTTTCATCTTGACGAACAGAATCACAGCCTCGTCGTTATCTTGGGGACGACGCTGACCGACACATATGGTTTCTTCGAACTCTGTGAATTTCTCAATCGCTTGGTAGATTTCCGCCGAGCCGAATCGTACACCGGAGGGATTGAGCACACCATCGCTGGATTGTATTTCCTCGGTCAGCATATGTACCAACGATCCACTTGAGCCTGGGGATGTTGACGAAGGAAACGGTTTCCCTCCGTCCTGAAAGACTGACCTTCTGCCCAACATGGTGAAACCGCCTGTTATGGGCGACGACGAAACAAAGTCGCCTTGGGTCCAGATATTGTTTCCGAATCGCTCGAAATATGCCTTCTGATACTTAGTCTTCCCATCTGTGCCCCAGAACTCGACAGGCTCGGACGGAAATGGCTGACGGCAAACCAACTCGCCAGGCACTCCAGTATTCATGAGAGAGATGGGGTGATCTTTGGCGCTGTCGAGTATGTCAATCGCCATCCCCAGAGCGGGGGCTTGAATCTCTCCCGAGTAGACAGGACTGGTGGGATCTCCAGAGACGACTGGAGAAGAGCAAAATTAGACCTTAGAAGCATCGATTGGGATGTCATGGTGGTCCTTACGAGAACATGCCAAGTCTGTGCCACCACTGCCAGACACAAGATGCACTGTGTCAGGAAACCCGGCATCGTAGAACCATTCGCATACCCTTGCTGTAAGGACGGAGCCCGCCGAAGATACAGTTCGCAAGCTGCTAAGATCATTGGTTTGCTCTAAGGTGAGAGTGTCAATGTATGAAGGCCACCTCTGGGAAGCAACAGACGTACTAGGGCAAATGTTTCTCTCCTGTAGATCGGTCAAGAATCTGGCAGATGTGCCAAACAAGGATATTCTGGGCGCGATATCAGCGACTGTGGTCTGTACCGATCTCTAGGTCTTCTGCTTCATACGTACTTCAGCTTCTCCACCAGGCGAAGGGTGACCAACGGGTCCGGATACAGCGGAGAGCCATCATATACGACTACACTGCCTCCGTAGGAAAGACCACACAGAACCATTGCCCACATGATCCATCCAGTCTGTTCTACTGTCAGTGTTATCACTTCCGGCACGACAGGAATGTCCCTCACCGTAGTATATTGGTACACTGTATCGCCTGGACGCACATCCAGATGAAGGTAGTCTTTCTTGACTTGCATCAGGAGTCCCTTATATCACGCGTCAGTCTCCAGAGCTCTCGCGTGATTCTTTCTGATTGACTTACACACGCACTGTGAACTATACATTTGGGGGCGCCGGTCTGTGATGCTCTTAGTCAAGAGGTCCATGACGTACTCGATGAAAAAGCATAAGATGTGAACTCACCGTTCCAGAAGAATATACAATAAATCCAGGGTGACTAAAAGGCAGTTGTTCAAAAGTCAGTGGACGGCCCTTTGCTGTGCTCAAGAAGCGATCCCAGGTCGTGCTGTCGGGTTGTTCCTTGGAATAGGGCTCATCGCGAATGATCAGCACCGCGCGTTTGAAATCAGCCACCTTTCGAAGCCGGCCTAGGCATTGTTCGTATTTCTCGGTCAAGGAGCGCAGCTTTCCGTTGTAATGCACAGAAGATTCGAAGAAGACAATCTTGGGCTCGATCTGCTCGAGCCGCTGCATGATGCCCTCTGTACCCATGTCTGGTGATGAAGTTGACCACAGTGCCCCAATGCTCAAGGTGGCCAGACAAGCCACAATGGTCTCGAAGCAGTTGGAAATGACGGCTGCCACGCGATCTCCCTTTTTCACACCAGCCTGCCTCAGAGCGTCCGCTATCACCGTGACCTGTTCACGTAGCTCTTGCCGCGTGATAGCTCGTACGGCCTTTGCTCCTTCAGGCACGGCGTATATAACAATGGGATTCAAGGAGTCCACATTCAACAAATGCTGCGCGAAGTTCATGCGGACTTGGGGAAAGAAATGCGGCGGCGGAAACATGGCTGCTCCCTGGACTATGGTCAGTTTATCGACACCGAGGCTTGTGGAGCATGCTTACCTGCGGCAGCACCGAGCCTTTGATATGCAGCGCATGTTTCGCGAGGCCTTCGAATTCAAAGAGGTCGGCCCAAAAGTCGGATGCTGTACGAGGGTCTATTGACCATGCATGGAGTTCTGCATAGTCCTTCATCGCAGGTCGTCGCTTCGAGTTAACCTGGCGACGGAACTTGTCCATGTTTGTTTGCGTCGGATCAGCATTCTGCCATAGCTTGCGTGGTGCAGCAACGTTGGCCATTTCCTGCTCGAGGAAATGTTATTCAAGCTCAAAGCAGTCGTTGTAGTGCCAACGCCTTCCTGAAATTAACCCTGGTAGCCCTGACGCCAGATTTATGAGCGACGAGTCGACAGAAGTCGCTCTGCAGCTGCATAGTTCTGGTTGGTGGAGGTCAAATGTGTCTTTGGATCCAGTTTCCTTCCCCGGGGGTATTCAGCTCGTGGATCCGCACTTCATGTTGCTCCTTACGGCCGCGGCGGGTCAGTAAGGGAGCCATCTAGTAGCTGCGGTGTCAGAGGCCGGCTTGATTTAGTCGTATGTTGTTGAGTATGGAAAGCTTTCCGGGGGCATTAGAACGAGCTTTTCTGCTAGCGTCAATTTACCGTGCGAGACTACATAAGGAGCCTGTAGCCATGTTGCTCTAGGAAGCTCTCTCTTCTTCCGAAAACTTCCAAGACAACAATGCATGTATGCACAACTCGGGGTGGGGACGTACTCGGGGCAAAGGGGCTTCTCTCCGAGCCAATCGGAGTGGGCAAGACAGTCTTCCGCTCCACATTGGCGCCACTCCTCCGAAGCCCGAAGTCTGGGAAAGAGTTTCTTGCGGAGAGGCGCATCCGGAGAAGGAAGGCACCAAGAAGACTTTATCCCCGAGCCACCTGAAAACATTCTAGGCCTTTTGTTATCCCCAGGATCTGATCCAAATCCTTCTGTCGCAATTCTGATGTCAATTCCACTCGATCCCAGATTCTCAGAATGACAGTGTTACGCACATTGACCTTTATCGAGCATGAGCACGTCGGGTTTGTCGCCGTGGCGTTGGGGTTTGTACGTTCAGGGTTCTCTCCACTGTTGGCATTCGATGCGATATCTAACCTGGAGCTAGTTGGCTCATGTCTTCTACAAGAGATTTGAACCTACTGCCATTGGTTTCCTGCTCCAGTCCGCGGTGTTGGGCGTGCTCCTCTTCGTCTGGAGTAATTTCTCCACCAACTTTGCGGTCTCCCACATCAGGGTCTGGGCTCCGGTGAAAGCGGTTCTTTTGTATTTCTGCACGCTTGGGTAGGAACTGGGAGCCAGAGTACGCCGGGACTGTAGCATGCTAACCTGACTTAGTGTCTCGATTGCATTCTATCGGCTCTATCTCAATCCTCTCAGCAAATTTCCGGGTGAAAAGCTGCGGGCCCTCACGAAATGGAGACACTACATTGATGCTAATCGTGGGACCACTCTTCACGTTATGATGAAGCAACATCGAGAGCTGGGCGATTTCGTCCGCATAGGTCCCAATGAAATCTCCATCGCAGATCCGAGCTTCATCCCAATCATTCACGGCAACAAGTCAAGATTTCCCAAGGGCCCGTGGTACCAGGACTTGAACTCGGACGTGGTCCAATCGCTCATCGAGATTCGCGACTTTGAAAAGCATAAATCTCAGCGTAAAATCTGGGATGAGGTTTTCACACCCCGAGCTCTGAGAGTGTACGAAGGCCGTATATTGAACATCCTGGAACAGCTGATAACGCAATTCAAAGGGGCTGCGAAATCAAAAGAGCGAGTTGATCTCGCCCTGTGGTCTGAGCGTCTTTTGGTCGATACCACTGGCAAGATTGCCTTTGTAAGTCCTTCTGCATCCCTGCGAAATCATCATGACCGAGTCCAGCAGGAAGGACTTTTTGATCCTGTTCTCTGACAAGGCCAGAATGTCGACTTCCACGCGGTTCAAAATGCAAAGGGCCATTTCTACGTCGAGTTCATCCATGCAACGTTGCAGCATGTTGCTTCCCTGGCTGAAGTATCTTGGGTGAAGCCGCTTTTCGCATATCTGCCACTCAAAAAGAGTCAACTTGCTCAGATCGAGCAATTCAAAACCTTTAGCGAAGAAAAGTTGTCGGAACGGATGCAAAGCCAGGGCTCAGCTGAGATTGATGTCCTCGGTTTCTTGATGTCGGCCGGGGAAAGAAATCCAGCCTACAAGTTGAGCACCCATGGCCTGGCTTCCGAAACTCGGTTGGTCATCGCCGCTGGAAGCGATACCACGAGTATTGCTATCACGTACAGTCCTCCCCAGATTTGTCCACCCCCTACGATAAATTATACTGGGAACTGAGATTGTTTTTTCATAGTTCTGCTATGTATTGGCTGCTCCTCGACAAGAAAGCATATCTAAAACTGCGACAGGAGTGTCGCACGATTTTCTCCCCAGACGAACCATTCGAGGCTGCAAGGCTCGGAGACTGGAAGCGAGCTCCGTATTTGAATGCTTGCATCAACGAAGCCCTACGACTGTTACCCTCTGGTCCAAATGGCATGCAGAGGGTAGTTAACACACCAGGTGGAATAATGACTCCTAACGGAATCAATATCCCCGAGGGCACCAAAGTCAGCGTGCCGACCTGGACAGTACACCACGATCCGCGCAACTTCGAAAAGCCATGGGATTTCATCCCGGAGCGGTGGATCGAAGGCTCTGGGTTCGAGGGTGCTCATAACACGACAGCCTTCATACCGTTTTCATTGGGCACGTATTCTTGCATCGGGAAACCGCTGGCACTACTACAGATCCGGCTGTTCTTGTATAAGTATGTCGGATATTGTCCCCAAACCCCCCTTCCAGGTCATGGAGCTGGACTTCAGAAATGTTGACTAACATTGCATCGTGCAGACTTATACCAGCGTTTGACTTCGAGCTTGCGCCGGGCTTTGACAAGAGAGCCTTCATCGAAGATACAAGAGCGTTCTTCGGATTAACAAAATTGCCATTAGTGGTGTCCGTAGCCACTGCTTCCGACTGAAAGATCCTTGTTGTATAGAGAAATCAAGCATTTTAATATCTAAACTCTTGCTCATTGGCTCCCTTCAGGCTTTCCTTTGAGTGGCCCGATTCTATCCTGTGTGATAGTCACCGCTGGCCATTTCATTTCAATCATTTCCATGTAATAACCGCATCGTATCAAGTCGACTTCTGTTGCTGCAGACGATGCCAATGAAGTCAAACCAGCAAAAGGTAGTTCCCCCTGGATTTCGGAGACCCAGTCCCGGGCATTTAGGTGTCTGGATATGTGAGGAATACTCCACCTTTTCGGCACAGTAGGATCTCCCGGTTGGTCGGATTCGCTCTTGGGTTCGACGCCTTTATGTTTGCTCCGTTTCGTTCACTTCTTCCCAATGTCTGAAGCTTCTATACCCTAATGACCAGGGATTAGAATACAGCGCGCGTCAAAGCATCTCATCCACACTGCCTCTGGTCCTGAAGAGGTCACAAAGCCAACAAAACATTTACAGCACGTCCGTGTGAACCCTTTCCAATCCCATGACCGCCACAACTTAGAAAAAAGCCACCCCCGAACTATGAATTTCGCAGCGTCGAGGACCCAGCTGAAACGGAGTACGGCGGTCGCAGGATCACTGCTATTTTGGTGGACGAACAGAAAGAGGTTGGATACCACTTTTGACGAAGTATGTACTTGCACTCGCTTCTCTCGCCCTTCTCTCTCTATACGTAGCCTTGGACGATTGGAAGGACTACTGAAATTATATCTAACAAAATTCGGTTGCAGCGACTCTCAGCTGGTCTCCAATACGACGTAGTGGTCTTGGGATCCGGCGCGTCGGGGCTGACCACCGCAGTTACCGCGGCCCAGAATGGCTTGAAGGTCCTGGTGCTTGAGAAGACAAGGTTTTTCGGTGGGACGACGGCCTATTCTGGAGGTGCTCCGTGGATCCCAGTGAACAAGTACCAGCCTACTATAGGAGTTCGAGACACCAAAACTGCCGCCGAGACGTATCTGCGCAGTGTTCTTGGTCCTACGCATTTTGCGAGTGCGGAAAAGAACATCGAGGCATATCTGAATACGGCCCCAAAGATGGTGGAATGGATGGAAGCCAATACCGCCGTCAAATTTCAAGCAACTACGCTGCCTGACTACCGGCCAAATATTGACGCCGCGTCCAAAGGTCGTACAATCATACCAGTCGACTTCAACGGCAGACTACTTGGCCAGGAGTTGCGCAATGTTCGTTATACGTTACAGGGCATGAAGGCGTTTGGGTCGATGCAGGTGAGCCCCTTGGAGACGGAAATTCTGCAAAATCCCTTTGGCTCGGTATCCAACTTGGTCCACACGGCAAAGAAAGGTGCCAACTGGGTTCTTGACCTGCTCGTTTACGGAAAAGGGTCCTTCATGGTCGGTGGCAACGCTCTAGTTGGTCGTTTGCTCCTCACTGCCATCGAATCAGGAGTGACGCTGGAAACTGAAGCTGAAGTGACGGGGCCACTGATGGAAGACAACCGCGTCGTGGGGGTGCTTCTCTCCGTTGCCAATGGAGAAAAGCAGATTCCCATCAAGGCTTCCAAAGGCGTTGTCCTTGCTACTGGAGGTTTCGGCAGGTCTGAAGAAGGTAAGGAGTTTGTGCCTCAAGACTGGAGTGCTGTGCCAAAGACAAACCTGGGAGACGGGATCCGATTGGGCCTCAAGGCCGGAGGATATCTCCCACCACCCAACGAAGACAATGCCATCTACGCACCGATCTCTGTGCTTCAGTATGACGACGGCCGCACGCGCTGTCTCCCGCACTTTGCGGGCGATCGGACGAAGCCGGGATCACTCATCGTGGACGAGGATGGGAAGCGTTTCGAGAACGAGTCGCGAAATTACCAGGACTTTGTTAAGAAAATGCACTCCCTCCAGATCAACAAGGCTTACTATATCGCCGACGCGGACCACCTGCGCAATTACGGCATGGGCATGGCGCTGCCCTGGCCCTACTGGAATCGCAACGTCCTGCGCAGGGGCTATCTGACCAAGGCGCAAACGATCCCCGAGCTGGCCGAGACCCTCAAGATCCCAGTGGCAAACCTACAACAATCAGTGGAGGACATGAATACGTACGCAAAGACGGGCAGGGATGTTCAATTCCATCGTGGCGAAGACGCCTACGATCAATTCTACGGCGACCCCGCCGTCAAACCGAACTCCAGCTTGGGGCCGATTCGCAAGCCACCCTTTTATGCTCTTCCTCTGTACCCAGGGAACGTGAGCGTCATGTATGGTTTGGCCACCAACCAGAACGCTCAAGTACTGTCCAAGGAAGGCAGCGTCGTCAAGGGTCTTTACGCCGTGGGTTGCGACAATAATAGTATCATGCGAGGCCAATACCCAGGTGGAGGAAGTAGTATCGGCCCAGCCATGACCTTTGGGTATATCGCAGCACTGCATCTAGCCGGTCGGCTGGGTCAGGCTTGAGTCATTGATCTTGTTGCGGTTAGAAGGGATGGACCATCTAGGGCAAATGTGAGCGAAGTCGGAATGGCGATTGTTTCCATTGGTTCTAAGTAGCGATGAATAGAACCTTTCAGTGTTCCGGGAATGGCACCTGTGGTCCATTGAAAAAGCTGAGGAAATGTGTTCTGTACCAAATCTCAAGGCAGCTATAGCCGATCAAAAAGTATAGGTATAGACCCATTCAGCATGGCTCGCTGTCGTTGAAATCTTGAAAAGCGCGTAACGGAAACAGAGCCGCAAACCGCGGGCAAAGTATTCCCCAACTCTCCTATAGACTTGTTTCTGTCTTTATAAAACAAAATATCACACGCTACTGTGCTTTTTTCAGAGAATGCCAATTGCTGCCAGCGAGGCACAAGAGAAATGCCTTATATACATGGTTTGTCTGGGCCTGGGGGGGGGGGGGTGATGGAACCCTCTGACATATCCACGAAGTCCACGTCACTAGTAGCTGATACGTGTTCTCGATTTCGCCTTGCACTCCTATTTCCTATCACTCATGCGGCTTGCCATGGCATGCGCAGTCCTATGATGAGCAATGTTAGAAATAGTAATGCTTGGTTGGATCCATCCACCCGAGCCTTGTACATGCACACATACCTGCATCTAGTCTCAACGTCGTACCGTTGATATAAACATTCTCGAAAATGTGCTTGACGAGCGCCGCAAAGTCCTTGCCAGGCTCTCCTGCACGTTTCGGGAAGACCACAGCGCCCTCATTTTGCGCTTGAATAGGCTCCGGAAGCCGCGCATACAGTGGTGTCTGAAACACACCGGGGGCTATGGACACCACGCGGATGCCGTACTCGGCCAAATCCCTTGCCAGTGGAAGCACGGCGCCGATGATGGCACCCTTTGAGGCGGCGTATGCGCTCATGCCCGACGTGCCTTCGAACGCTACAATTGATGACACAAAGATGATTGCGCCCCGGTCATGGTCAGGGTCGGGGTCTGTGTCGCCTTGCTGCTCGCCAGATCCTGGAGCATTTGATCCCTTCTCGCTTTTTGTAGTGGTCATGGGTTTGGCCCAGCCGACCAGCAGCTGTGTAGCTAGGTCTATGCTGCCGCGAACGTTGACTTGGAAGACTTTGTCCCAATTCTGAATGTTCAGGGGCGTCTGCCCGCTTTGGTCCACTGCAGGGGTCGGGATGCCAATGCCGGCTGCTGTCACCACGCCGCCGAGTGGACGCCCACTGGCTTTGGTCCATTCTTTGACAGCAGAAACAGCGGCCGCAATACTGTCGGTTGATGACACGTCTGTTTGATAGAATCGGCAACACTCTGCCGTGAGGTCCTTGACGATCAGGTCCCCAGCAGATACGTTTTGGTCCAGGATTGCAACCGAGCCGCCTGACTTGATTATCCCATGTACAGCCCCGAGACCCAGGCCGGACGCACTGAGGGAGACCTGTGTCAGATACAACTGGACACACTGTATCCAAAAAACACAGGAAGCTGAAATTTTTTTGACTCACCCACCCGAGACCACGAAGGTTCGACCTTCAATTCTTACCATCGTGCATGTATTAGCCTACAGCACTCTATATAAAATCTATCTGGTGAAAAGATGTACAATATATAACGTATTGCAACAGACGTGTCCAATGTAACAATATCAGTGAAGACACAACCCCTTCCTTGCATTAAACTTCGGTCGAAACTGTCTCCAGCTTCGGGCCGGATACTAGCTGTAGTTCCGGGCTTCGCCCAACACGGCCAACAAGAAGGCAAACCACCACTCTCGATTGTCCGAATTTCGCCAGATGTTTTTACATATTGTATAACGTAGAGGAACTCTTGTGTATATATCCTCTTCCCCTGGCCTATTCCTCGCCTGCATAACTAGTGAGACCAACATTGTGTGTTTCTCCGTCACCATTTCATCAACCACGGACCGTGGAGGAAACAACCTTTTCATCGCCTTTTTGGTGGACGCCCGGAATTGTGGGTCAAACCCCTTCAAACCTCGGCCTCATTAACAACATCAAGAAACGTTTCATCCGCTCTAGACTTGTTACTTGAGCTGCCAGTAATCAGGCTGGTGATATCTCTCCTAAATTCCGAGCATGGCTACTGGACCAATTGTCTTGGTAACCGGTGCTGCCGGCGGCATCGGCTTCGAAATTGTTCGCACCTTGCTCACAGAACTTGGCGGCTGCGTAGTGGCCAGCGACATCGCCAAGGGGAATCTGGAGAGGTTGTGCTTAGCAGACGCTGATCGGCTTGAAGTGGTTGTGGGGGATATCACTCAGGTAAGTAAGGTGCTCTAGTCTGGCAGAACCCCCAAAATAACAACTCTGTCCAAAGGAGAAAACGTCAATCGAAGCAGTAAGCCGGGCGGTCGACCGGTTTGGTGGATTGACAGGAGTCTGCCTCAATGCAGGAGTATTTGGACCGTGTCACCGATTGCATAATTCGGACCCGGAGAAATGGACGAAAGCCATCCAGGTCAACCTCATGTCGCACCTCTACACGGTAAGCTGGTACTCTACAATGTACAACAAAATCAACTCCCCCTTCTCCTGACTTGGTTGGCTTGAGTTTGCTGTCTCACTCCAACTAAACAATTCTCGACTTTTCAGTTGAAACACGCACTTCCACATCTCCGCCAGACTTACGGCAAAGTCATCTTCACCACTTCCGCCGCCGGGCATCAGGCTCTTTTCGCGGGCTGGGGTTTCTACGGTGTGTCCAAAGCCGCCGTGGCCTTCGAAGCCAAGCAGCTCCACCTGGAAGAGCCCTCGCTGACCGTGCTGGGATTATCACCGGGCCTATGCGATACTAAAATGGTGCAAGACCTGATGAACGGGGCACGTAAGTCAAACCCTCTCCCCCTCCCCCTAAGAATCTCCGTCTCGCTCTAGTGTATCCCTGGTTGCCTGTAGGCTCTATATCACACACAAAACACTAAACACTTACCGGGTTTTCTCTGCAGACGAGGGTTGGTCACAGGAGGATGCGGCAAATTACAGAAAGGCTTTTGCAGGGTACGAGCTGTCCAAGCCTGAAGTTGTTGGTCGGGCTTATGCATACGCCGTCACCAAGGCATCAAGGGAGATTTCCGGATCAGTGTTAGAATATACAGCGCCCGAAATACAAGGCCTTATTGCCAGTACATAAGTATCAAGTATTCGATGTAAAACGACGAAAACAAAGGAGTCGAGACTCAGTAATTGATATCTTGGAATGTGATCATCTAACTTGACGGAAGAAAAATCATTATACCAGTCACCTCCCTCCCTCCCTTCTCCGCCGGATGCCTATCCTAGTAAGAGGACTTAGTTAAGTGGTTAAATGGTTCAACCCAAGCTCCTCGCACCAATCTCCACTCGCTTTTTAATCACTCTATGATCCTCTTTGCTCTCGAGTCGTCGACAAAGATCCTCCGGGTCAAAGTCTGTCCCAATAGGATTCTGCGCAAACTCCGGACTGGCCATGAACGCACTAGCTTCGGCCGCCGAGTCAAAATTATCGACCTGCGTTTCGATCCTGTTACCATCCGGGTCGGTGTAGTACATGCTCGTCGTGGGCCCGTGGTTGATGCAGACAGACGGTAGAATCCCGAGAGTCTTGCGCTGACGATACGCGAGGGCGAGATCGTCCAAGGTGTCAAATGCAAAGGCGATGTGGTCCATGCCGATCGAGCCGGGGGCCTTGTCGGGCGCGTCGGGCGTGTTGATGATGGCGATCCGGTGGTGTTCATCGTCGTATCGGAGGAACGAGAGCGTGTCGTTCTCATAACTGGCATGTGCGCCCAGGAAGTCCTTGTAGTATTGCACCATCGTCTTGTATTTGTTGGTCCGGAGCACGACGTGAACTAGGTGAGCGGGCGGTTTGGTCTGAGCCTGAGCCGGAGCTTTTTGCGCGGGAGACATGGTGTTGCTATCAACACAGCAGCTGGATGAGAGTGAGGACTGGTTTTCTTTTTTTTTTTCCTTCCCTCGAATAGAATAACACAGAGGAGATCTTGCTTCGGGTTTCTCAGGGTAGAGGGTAGAAGTAAGCTTTAGATATAGTTGAGGTATCTATATCTGCCGATTTCGAAGCCCGCCTTCCGAACTTGGCTAAAGGACGAGGACTAGGCGCGGCCGACAAATCATGTGAGTCCATATGGTCTCGTGATGCTTGGTACCAACTGAGGTTCAGTTCCGAAGAAGTCTATATACATCTCCGTTGCCCGGGCTGCAGCCAAGGTCTCCGGGTGAAAGTTGGCGGACAAAACATTCAAAGCCAGTAGTCATCCGACCCGGTCTAAGTTTGGGTCGGAGCACCTCCCCTTAAGTTTGCTGGCTACGTTATGAAAGTTCAATACTACCTTCTTCATGATAATGCCATTTAGAGAGATATCGGGAAAAAAAAAAAAGAAAACTTCACTATTGTAACTTGTATTCTTTGTACATATCTGGTGCGACTATAGCCGAACATGCGGAGTCTGTCTTCTTGGTCATGCTGGTCGCATAGTACAGTGTGTTCTGCCATAGCCATGGAACTGCATGCATGTTCCACAACTCCAACTACAGTCCTCCTTTCCCACCTCGTGCATCTTCATTGTTCTAGGTTCTCATTCTCTTCATCAGTGATTGAGAGTCGCAACAATTCGGTTAGTCATGTACGGCACGATGTCGCCCAAAAAGAAGGCGGCGACGATTGCCAAAACGCCGAACGGGATGCTGGTGTAAAAGATGTACTTCAGCGAATCTGCAAAGGCCCATTGGCTGCCTAGAGCCCCAGCAGCGATGATGGTCGAGTTGACCCCGTTGACACTGCCCAGACTGGCGGGATTGGTCAGGAGGGTAGTGACGAACTCCGTCGCTGAGTCGACAGGGAGTCCGGCCTGAATCGCATATGTGGCAATCTCTGCTGGAAGTTTGGCGTCGAGCTTGTTAATAAAGATGTTGTAGTAGATGGTGAATCCAATCGATCCGCCAATCGCACGGATGGCCAGAGTCAGCGCAGCGGTGGTGGCAATCATGTCGTCTGGACAAGCAATGGTCGCGATGGTTGCCGCCGGCACAATCAATCCACCAACTGCAAATCCAGCAACGACGGTTGCCGCCGTCACAAAACCTGGATTCGTTGGATTGCCAGCCGCTATACTCCCAATAAAGGCAGCTTTTTGTAACACCGTTAGCTTACTCTTATTATGGAGATCAATGAGGGTAGAAGCGAGACTGATCATCAACTAGCAATGAAGGTCAAGGTCAACTTACTCATTGTGATGCAAGACGCGGCTATCGACCATCTCGCATACTTGGGGAACCGCGAAATGAACCAGTTCCCAAACACAGCACCGAAAATGTTAGCTGTTGGCATACCTGCACCTCTACCTCCAACCAGAATCGGGTCTGCCGGATAGACACTGCTGAAATACGTCGGGGCAAAGTTGGTAAGGGAATAGAAGTTCATGCCGGCGATGAAGGAGATGATAAAGGCCATCCGGATAACGCGGCGCCGGAAGAGCTCGGGTGGCGCGATTGGGACCTTTGCGAATCGAATTTCCCATACCACGAACGCCACGAGGGCGAAGATACCGGTGATCAGGGGGGCGAGGACCGCAGCACTCTTCCACGGGTGGAGGTAGCCGCCATTCTGCAAGGCCACAAGCCTAGGAAGACACGACAAGGTTAGTCGCCATCTATGGAGGGCATACACACGGCAAAACCTTACAATAGAGTCAAGCCTGCCAACGACAAGAGCCCGCCAATGTAATCGATGTCTCTGATGATGTCCCGTCGACGCAAACCGACCAGTCTCGAATGCTTAGACGGAAAGTATAGCAATGCAACTCCGACAAGTGCGATACCTTGGTATATGCTGGAATCTAGTTGTTAGCATAGAAGGAAGTGGCGGAAGAGTACGCTGTTATTGCATACCAGACAATCCAGAATCCCCATCTCCAGGTAGCCCTTGTAGCTAGGAGCTGACAGTATAGAACATATGGCCCGAGGGGGGTTGCTATGGCGGTCATAATTGCCACACTGTAGCCCCTTGCTCGAATGGGAACAACTTCGGTGATACTGGATGATGAATGTCAGCTTTCTTTGTCTCTTGCATTTCGGCATTGGCTCGTCCTGACCCTGCAAGAGCTGACAGTTCGGCGATACCTGCGCCAATGCCACAAAGTGTCATGGCTACCACGGCTTGGCCAAAGCTGTGGGCGGTGCCCATGATGATCGAGCCAACTATGACCAACACTGTCGAAGCTAAAGCAATGGGGCGCCGGCCGAAGATGTCTTGAAGGTAGCCAGTGAAGGGGATGGGAATTGCTGCTGAAAGGGTGTATGCCACTGGCAACCAGGAACTCGTGGTTGAGCCTCCGATGTCCTCGATAATGTAACTGGTACCCCCAGCACAGAAGTAGAGCGGCATCTGCGAGCCTGGCAGAATCGTTAGCATGATGTTTTCGTCACTAACTGACGCGGGACATGACACATACCAGTGTAGACGAAACAGAGCGAGAGGTAGGCCACAAAGGCACGAACGGACCAGTCGAGTTTCCCATCCGAGTCGTCGCCCTTGATGACCACGTTGTGCTCATGCTCGCCGTCTTTGTCCTTGGTCGTCGTTTCAAGCTGTTGCTCCATTGTTCCCACCTCACTTGCTTGCTTTGAGAGCTTTTCTTCCATCATGGAGTTGCTTGAGTGCTATGTTTGAAAGTTGAGGGGAGTGTTTGCTAGGGATGGTTTCCACAGGGATGCATGCATGAGGATAGGCATCACCTGAAGAGATATTGGAGCGTCAATAAAGACCTAGACCTGCGCAAGAGGAACCCGGGGCCCGAACCATATCAAATTATGCTCGAGGCTTTCAAAGGTCCAGTCTCGGAGAAGACACCTCCTCCGGCTGACTGTGTACTGTTGGGGCCCCACGGGGCACCGAGCCAGTCAGCGATTCGAGCTGGAAGAGAACTTTTGACCCGGTGGGGCGAGTTCCAGCCGAGGCCATCCAGCCGAGCTCCGAAGAGGTCTTCTTATTATACATTGGCAGAGATGAAGTCGATATGCATCCAGGAACACTCTGGATTTAAGTACGAAGGTGTAAGTACTAAAGGGTCGGTGTCTTTCGGCGTGTGTCAGCTTCGCAAGTCCATGCTGCGTGTTAGCGGGGCAGTACCTGCGCTCCGGGGTAATTCCAGGGTCACCTAGGTGTAGATGTCCAGCTACACTTAGTCTAGTTAGCAGTCCTCGGGTGCCTTACCCCAGACTAACAGGTAAAGACCCGTGCAGGTGCCCCAGGGCTTAGTGAGTCCTAGGGAGCCTTACGCCTAGGTCATGATTACTACTCGTTGCCACTCCCGCTGGGTGCCCACCACCTGGGTGGGTGCCACTACCAGCACCTGATGAGTCTGGGCCACTTGCCCCTCCATCCCCCATCATCCGCTAGTTAAGTGGCAAGTTGCAACCTCACAGTCTTTCTTCCATCTGCCAATGTGCCAAACAATTCCAAAATCATTCCACTATGTCTGTAAAGTGTTCTTTTGCAGGTAGTTAGCTCTACCAAACAACATATCGCCCTCCCTCCCTCCTCTCAACTCTTCCAACGTGGACGGTATCATACACTTGTCGCTGGATCTTCCTCTGTAAAGGGCCAAAGGCATAGCCTCGGCACAATGCCAGTTGCCAAAGAAGCAGTCCCCAAGTCTACGCTGGCATGCGATTACTGTCGGCTGAAGAAGGTCAGATGTACTGGTATCTCTACCCGGCTGCTGGTTATTCTGTCGCCCGGACTAACAGGTATAGGACAAGCACCGTGTCGAAATTGTGAGGTAAGAAACATCCTCATCCCTCCAGAATGGGATTCAGACGGGTAGCTAGAACGGCTCATGATTTCCAAAGTCTCATGGCGAGGTGTGCCATTTCACTCCCTCAAACAGGAAGATCCAAAGGAAGCCACGAGAAGCGAAAGAAGTCCAGCGGCTTCTCCAGAATCGACTCGAGAAGGCGGAAGACCTTTTACGCCAGGCTGGCATCGTTGTTCCTGCCACGCAACCCTCCTCCTCTTCCTCAAAGGAGGCTCAGAGTGGCAGTACTTGGACGGCAAATGTGTTCTCGGAGCCTCGAACCCTGGATGCAGAGTATGAGCGCTCACAACTGCTGGGCAGCGAGACATGTATAGGCACTGATCGACCGTCTGGCATGGGATCCATATCGACTCAGACCCAGACCCAGAACCGGAATCAATTCGCTAGCAATCTTGCATCGCCTTTCCAGCACTCACAGGTACCATTTGGTAACTCAACTTCCGACGACAGAGACGCGAGAGATGCAACGCTGACTCCACATGGTAATATTGCTGTTGCTTCGAGCTATACAAACACATATCAACCTTCAGCCACCCCGCCCGATACGCGGCAGGCGAATCCGACCCTCCGTCCCCTCAAACTCCAAGGAACGCCCATTAGCACAGAGGCACTTCAGGTTCATGGTGCCACAACGTCAGTACACGACGGAAACGAGCCAGCGGTTAGTGATCTCGGAGTGGGTGGATATATGCCACACAAGCTAATGCTGCTACTAGAGCCCAGTGGAAGAACTTCACGGTCTCTTGCCTCCCCCTTCCATACCAGCGATTGCCCACTAACATCCACAGGACCTGGATCCTATCTGTCGATATGCAGCAATCCTGCGGCAGAATGGGTGTCCAAGCAGATTGGCGTCTCGGGCTTCACAGATAGTGCCGCATCGCTCACGAGTACCGTATATCGCGACTTGAAGATGCAAACGTCCATGCAACGTGGGAGAGTGCCGGAACCGGACCTCGCATGTGCCAGAGATTATGCCGCAGGTGCGTGAGAACTTTTTCCCCGTTGTTGTCCTTGGTTGGCTCACTGCTAATGAAGGCTTCCTCAGCATATTTCGACCATGCCTTCGAATCGGCCTTTGATATCGTTGATCGAGCGTCTTTCGAAGCGCGCCTAACCGCTCAAATTCTGAGTTCTGCTTCTGGGGATGATCCAGCATGGTACGCTCTGCGCAATGTCGTCTATGCATTTGGCTGCAGAGCGTCCACCTATAGAGAGACAGTGCCAGAGTCATGGGCGGAGGCGCAAAGGAAATCCTGGCAGTACTTTGAAAATGCTCTCTCAGTTCACACCGAGCTGGTTTACTTTCGATCGAATCTTTCCGCGGTGCAAGCGCTCTTAGCCATGGTAGGTTCTGCATGTCGCCCACAAGGCTGTATGGATGAAAACCATTGACCCTGTCGTTGTAGTCCCTCTTTGTTGAAGGAATGGGCAATCCGAAATTGGAATATATGCTCATCAGTACCACGGTACGCCTGGCTCAGTCCAAGGGACTCCATCTACAGCCGCCCGCGACGACCAAACTCTCAGCGGCTGAGATAGCCCTTCGAAGCCGGCTGTTCTGGACCATGTACTTCTATGAGAAACATATTGCATACCGAGCTTGCCGCCCATCAGTATGTTTTGCGCCTTGGCCATCTGCCCCTGCAACCCCCCTTTTCTCTCCCCTGCGGGTCGAGGTTTGAGTATACGGCTCACAAATTCCATCAGATGATCAACGACGATCACATTGACTGCCAGCTTCCTGAACCCATTGACGGACAACCTTCGATCAAAACAGAATTCTTCCACCATGTTATCCGCCATGCACAAATCTCATCTTCTATCATTGATCAACTGACCGCGGCAAAAGCTCGTCGACGGAAACCCAGCAAAACAATCGAGACCGTCAACGAAATTCACCAAAGACTCAAGTCCTGGTACGACACAGTGCCAGCGACTTTACGATTCCGACGCTCGCAGCCAGTCCTGGCTTCTCCAGACCTACAGATGAGTCACATCACTTATCTACACCTGGCATACCACGGAAGTTTGGCAGCAATACATTCAGTGTTCGCCTACCCCTGGGAATTGACACGGCTGGAGGCTGGCTCAGATGTCGACCTGAATCCACAGATCGACGCAAGCACACAAACCCTTGCCGAAGCCGCCCGAAACATCATACTGACCACGAAATATCTACATCTTTCCGCGGCAGCTCCAGCGTGGTGAGTGGCGTTTTACCAGTTCCTTTCCACCCTCTCCCTTTGTCTTGCGCTTCCTACTTTTTTTTCTAACAATGTACTACTATGCAGGGAACTCTTCTTGTATCCTATTGTAGGCATGATCAATCTGTTCGTCTACATTCTCAAATATCCCACTCGGTCCTCTGTCCCTTCCGATTTGGGTCTACTGCAAATGGCTGCCGGGTACTTTGGATACTTAGACTACGCTACGACATCGACTAAGCGGTTCCCCTTCACAAAAGATATTGTAAAACTTGCTCAGAATGCTACGGAAAGAGCGCAGGGCTCACACAGAGGCGGCAGTGAAGTCCTACCTGCATTGACAGCCGGACTTGAAACCAACGGCAACGACGGGATGGATCTATGTTCATGGGACGAGGTAAGCTTCTTTCTTTCTTTTTCAGAGCACCTACTTCAGTCGCCTTTTTCTTGGTCATGTTTTCAATGCTAACCGTTTTCTATTCTTGCTTACAGGAATTCGGAGATTTTGATGTCAACGAAATAGGCCTGGAAAATTTGGTCTGCTTCCTGCCCGCCCTGACTCAAGTCTCGTCAATGGCAATGGACACTTTGCCGGATGGCTCGATCGACTTTTCCATCAGCAAGTAGTAGGTAGACCATTCAAGTCTTGTGTTCGATATCCCCCTCAGAAAGTTCAATCTTGTAATAGTTGTTATATGACTATGTAGGATGAGCGAGTAAGCCTCAAATTTCGACAGGGCAGAGGCGAATCATCCTTGCGTTCTGGCCTCGTGGTTCGCGTTGTCAATGTCCGATATTTGCTGCGGAAGATTTCCCGTGGTCGGGTCTGCAGTCAACTAAGGACCAACATCCTTCCACTGCCACTTGATGACTTTGCCAATATACATATACCCGCTCCTACTCGGAACTGCGCGTGCCCGTGGGCACTAGGTAGGCTGTTGCTTGCCTTCCTGCACGGTTCAGTTGCCAGAGACCCGCACTCGAATGAATTCGGTTGTCTCAACCGACTGGGACCCGTGCATGTTTCTGCGAATCTGGAGAGGATCTCGGGGCTCGGAGGGTTCGGAAGAGTCGGAGGTCAGCCACTCCGGCTTCCGGGAGCTTGTGGGCCGGAGTGGCTGAGGACCCCGGAGACTCTCCACCCCCCCCCCCCCCCTCTTGTGTTTTTTCATTTTTTGCAGATTGATTCGAGGGTGCTCGAGGAAGTGATTCACTTTAGGAGACTTTTTTGCCACTTGGTTCTTTCAGGTGCAAACTGAATGTCCACTCGCCGAACCTTCACTAAGCTCCCGGATTCTACTGATGAGCTGATGGTCCCAATCCAGCAGGGGCCGTTCCAAACACAAACTTGCCATTTTTACTTTTTACTTTGTAGCTCTAGCTTGCGCTCGGTACTCAGTAATCTTGTCGAGCGTCTTGAGAACAGAAGCGCCGAGCCATTCGGGTCTCGTGCGAGTCAGTCCCTGCTCGATGTCCCAGGCTTTCCCTCCTTCGACGTACAGGATCTTACCATTCCACTCTTCACCAATACACAATCCAGCCAGGACCTTTGCCACGTCTTGTGATGAGTTGACAGGGAGCTGAAGAGACTCAAAGACAGGGAGAACGTGCAGCGCGGACAAAGGGGTGGCGGTGACAGATGGGCACATCCCATTGACACGGATCCCGTGTGTAGTCGCGAGAGAGCCCGCTAGGCTGCGTGACAGTCCCAACACACCGGACTTTGTGGTCTAATTTTAAGGGGTCAACAGACAACATCCCTTGTATGTATGTATTAGGCGGGCAAACGTACGTTGTAAAAAGGCGTCTCAGCCGGACATAAGATTCCAGCCGTCGACGAAACCAAGGTCAATGACTTGTTTCGATGCGCAGAATCGCCTTGTCGCAGGTAGGCTGCTGCGATGTAGGCAAAGAATAACACACCGCGCAAGTTCACGTCCACGATGCTAGTGGGTGGCTCCTGTGCCGTTTGTGAGCCCAGTAAATACGGGGGAGGAGAGAGAGGCTTGGGTTCGCGTCGAGGACGAACCAACGAACCTGGTCGAGGCTCTGCAGATCTGTCGATGGGTCGAACAGGCCCTTGGGCTCATATATGCCCGCATTAGCAATGGCATGATCCACCGCTCCATGCTTCTTGTACGCTTCGTCAAACAATCGCAGCAGCTCCTTGTATTTGGAAACATCGGTCTTGACGAATGTCGCCCCAGTCTCCAGAGCTACCTTGCCGCCTAGCTCGTCTTGTAGGTCTCCAAAGACGACGTGTGCTCCGTTCTCACAGGCAAGTCGAACAAAGGCTTCTCCAATTCCACTTGCTCCGCCTATGATTTTGCGTTAGCAGATGGCCGAAAGGCTCATATGCGTAGGTATTTTATGTGTCAGATGGAATATCCCCCGCAAGGAATGGTCCTTCCTACCTGTAATGACGACGGTTTGATCTCGCAAGGAGTGGAAATTCTCCGGAAATTGAATTAGAGACATTTCACAGAAGTCTGCAGGAACAACGACCGTAAGAGTCCCTCTCATGTTCTAGTGATCATATTCTATTATCATACCACAAAACACAGGGGCCCGGGGATTCTATATTGGCCGCCCTCTCGGGAGGCATGTACTGTCTGGAGCGGCGCAGGAGTCGAGGGATCTCGGCCCGGTAGCAACACCCTTGGAACCGGACTAGATTGATGCGATCGCCCTTCAAGTCGAAGCCTTATCTTTTACCGGGCGAAAAAAATTCAATGGAACGAATATACAGCAATCTTACATCTATTCTCTTCTGTTCGTCTACTAAAGTCCGCCGGTATTGGGAAAGGGCAGATCTAGCTGCAAATCATGGCGATCTCGTCTGCCACTGATATCAATGCCTCTGATTCCCAAGACCATGCAGCAGAACCTCATCAGAACGGGCACATGAATGGCAATCAACTTGAAGCACGTACGGAAGCGCTCGAGGATGACCGTGTCCTTATCGCTGGAGGCGGACCCGTGGGATTGGTGTTGGGGAAAGTACTGAGCTTCTATGGCATAAAATCCCTCGTCCTGGAACGTAACGCAACGACCACAAGGTGAGCCGGCAATAGTCCCATGCATGATCTTTGTACTTCTACTTCTTTTGCTAAAATAAAACGCTACTCGAGATGGCCGAAAATGGATTTGACCAACGCGAGATCGATGGAACTGTTTCGCAAAATCGGGCTCGCAAACCAACTGCGCAAACAAGGTGCGAAATCTGGCAACTTCCAACTCGAAACACCCATTAAGGCGTTTCTCACTAAACTTGATTTTTCACAAGGTGTACCGCCCGAGTTCCCAAGCAGTGTCAAGATATCCAAATCGTTGCACGAGCCAGAATCGATCTCCGAATGGCCTCATCCCAGCGTCAACGAGTATCGCAAGATCATTGCCGCCTCAAACGACGGCAGTCTGCCATTGGAACCTTACCAACGCCTTTCTCAAGCAGTGTTTGAAGCTTGGCTCAAGGGTGTGTGCGACAAGGATCCGTTGATCGAAATGAGGTTTGGCTGGAAGGTGGAGGCGACCGAGGAGAGCGATGACGGTGTCGTGACAACTGCAACCAACCTCGCAGAAGGCCGGACATCATATATCTCATCCAAGTTTGTGGCAGCGTGCGATGGTGCATCCAGCAGAATTCGGCGTGGTCTTCAAATCCCCCTAGATGGCGGACCAGTGTATGCTCTCGTGCCCCCCTTCCCAGGTTCATCCATTCATCGATTGTTGATTGTCTCTCATTTGTTGACTGCTATTACTGATACAGGCCGACGTACACCCTTTTGATCCATTTCAAGTCTCGTGATCTGACCCGGCTCCATCGCCAGGGTCTGTTCTGGCACATCTTTTTCCTCGACGAGGGTCGCTTTCGTGGGGCCATCATCGCGCAAGACGAGAAAGACACGTGGACAACCCACCTTCACATCCCCATCGGACAGGACCACGAGACGATTGATTCGCATGACGCCGTGTACCAGGTCCTTGGCGGATGGAACGCGCCGTATCCCATCACCATCGACGAGGTCCTAGTCAGGTCGACCTACAGACCGAGCATTGCAATTGCTCGCTCATTTAGAAGCCCCAAAGGACGGATCTTCCTGGCTGGCGACGCGGCTCATCAGAACATTCCGACCGGGGGCTACGGCATGAATATGGGACTGGGAGACGCCTTCGACCTGGGCTGGAAGTTGGCAGCGACAATCAAACAGTGGGGTGGTCCAGCGCTGCTATCCTCATACGAGGAAGAACGTCGACCAATTGCCCTGACTTCGATTGAGCGCTCTGGAGTCCACAATGCGGTGCATAGTAAAGCTGCTGAGCTGCTGGGAGCACGCGGGCGTCTGTCTGAGCTGGACGCAGAATCGAATCGAGCCGTGCGCGACGCTGTTCATCATCACTATCAAGAGCACGACGGGGAGAATAAGGACCTCGGCATCGAAATGGGCCAGATTTACAAATCAGGGATTCTGATCGTCGACGCACGAGAGCCGCTGCCGGAGTGGGTTCCCTCAAGGTACATTCCGAACACATATCCGGGTAGTCGTGCTCCTCACGTGTTCCTCAAGGACGGCACTACACCGATATACGACCTCTTCGGCACGTGGTTCACTCTGGTCGACTTTTCAAGCCCTTCTTCATCCCCGTCTGGCGAACAAAACACAGGCAACGCCTTTGTTGACGCAGCCGCCGCCATCGGATTACCGTTGAAACGTGTGCAGCTCCAAGGAGAAGACCATGCCAGGGTGCTGTGGGAGCGGGATTTCGTCCTTGTAAGACCAGATGGACACGTGGCGTGGAGAGGGGACACGACTCCCAGTCAGGAGGATGCCACTAAGATCCTACGGACGATCACTGGCCATGTCGAGCCCAAGGCTAAGGCTGGGACTGGTGACGACGGATCAAACGGTGTACATGTTACAACGGCACCGAAGACGTTTTCGAGCATTGGCACGTTGTCCATCCAGAGCACCAACTACGAGTATGAGAATATGGGAGAGTTCCAGCGGTAGTTGGTGTAGTAGCATTTGAGATGACAGGGTTAGAGATACAGGGGTAACAGTTGAGCATAGTTGAAGCAGTAGTAGCGCCAAATCCAGGATAATCGGGAACTCGCATAAGAGATCAAGGTCTGCCCGATATACAGAAAGAGGGAGACGGGTCTGGGTTTGTATCCATGGACATAGAAAGAGTATATAGTTTCTCTATGCGATACACAAAATTTGCAGACACACCCACATTACGGTCCGGTTCGGTCCAGTACACTATGGCGACTTGACCTTGACGTGCGCGACCTTGATAGCCTTGGGCAAGCGATTCAACCGGTTTGCCTGGTAGATCTCCGACTTGGTCGCATCGACGTGCGCTTGCACACTATCCCAGCCAATATACGCCACAAAGACCTTACTCGGGGTACTCTCGTAATCGACCTCTTCGAGCGACCAGCCCGAGGAGATTTCGCCCGAGAAGCCGGGCACGCCGTGTGCGCGTAGGGCGTCCAATAATCTGAGTAGGTCGGCCTCGAATGCCACGCCCTCCGTGCTCACCTGGTCGACGGGGTAATAGGCGCGCAGGATCTCTGTGACGGGTGCCTGCAGAGCCGGGGTCGGTGGATGGGGAGTAAACGATACGTGGAACGCCTCCGACGTGGACTCAGGGTTCACCATCGACCGCGCGGCCGCCAGGAACTCAGGGTACTCTGGGCGCGCTTGGTAGGCTTTGTGGGCTTCGAGAGAGTCCCAATCTAATCACCACCACCACCACCACCGGCAATCCAATCGTCAGTTCAGCCAATCTGAGAAGGATCTCGATAGGGTAGGGGGCAAGTGAATGCGCAACGCAACGCAAATATGTTGTCGACAGGCATGCCTGGGGCCCGGGTGCTTAAAGTACTTACCTAGCATTAAGTGAACGTGCGCGGAATTCTCCTCCTCTATGCCCCAATAGTTCTTCTGGACACCGGGCGCGTGCTTGCCGACCTCGACCATGTTTGCCATGACTTTACCTTCAGACGTGGAGGTGTCGTTGATGTCGACGCCTGGCCGAAGGGGGAGGAAAGCCACCTCCGTCACGGGAGCCATCTTGTCGTATCTGTCGGGGTCACGTTGGCGATTCTCGTTCTGAAGCTTCCTCAGCCGGGTGTCACATCGTGTTCTGAGCCTGATTATATCAATTTCCCCTCATCCTCGGCTGTCGTGGTGTATTGGTCACGGTGGAATTGGAAAGACACAATTTGTGTAGCCCCGAGGATGTCGACATCCGACCACCCAATCGGAGGCCCGGGATTTCAACCTCAGGGAGCTCGGCGCCCGCGCAGCCTCGCTAACCGGCACCAAGCAACCCTAACCCCAATCTTTGGTGCTGGCTCCTTAGCATTCCATAGGCTCCCCGCCGCTTTCTCTAGGGCCCGATCCCATCCGCTACATCATGAGACAGTCGAAGCGAGGATTAACCGACGATCATTCACAGTGCGGCTGAAGTCATTGGCCTCCTCGCGCTATGTTACGAAGCCTAATCTTACCCTCTTTTAAGAACTTCAGTTGTATGATAAAGCCGTCATCGCCGCTAATCTCCTGTGCCTCTACTTCTTTTCTCGGCGACGTTTAGCTCAGAATCGTCCCCCGCTTGTTGAAACCACCATGTCGAACCGCTTGGGCCTGATTCCAACCTCGGACCTCACCGAGGATCAAAGGTCACTGCACGACGACTTCACCCAATCCATCCAAGCGCGTTACCACTCCCCGTCGCGGTCGCCGCGGCTGATTCTCGACGACGGCACTCTGATTGGACCATACGGTATCCTGCTCCATCATCCTGAAGTGGCGCGGCCGTTCCAGGCCATCGTCAAAGCCCTGCAGACGATCCCCGGCCTGTCTCTATATGGCCGCGAAGTTGCGATTGCGGTGGTGGGGTCGCGCACGCAGGCCGCCTATGAAAATTACGCGCACCATATCATCGCCACTCAACGGGCCGGGATCACCGAGGCTGAATTACAAGAGATCAACACAGGCAGATGTCCCGGCACGTTGACAGATGAAGGGAAAACCGTTTTCGAGCTGACGACCGCTCTGGGCAAGCCGGGGCCTCTCGACGAAACGATTTACGACAAGGCGGTACAGGTGTTGGGCAAGGACGGCGCAGCAGCCGTCATCCATTACACGGGATTTTATAGCTATGTCAGCGTGATCCTCAACGGGTTCGATGCTAAGGTACCTGAGGATGCTCGAGGCTGAAGGTAGAGGCATGCCATTGATGGTACATCGTGTCTGGTGCTATTCCTAGAAGGTCTTCTCGACCCATTAAATACTCTAAACTCTTACAGGGCTCACAAGAGGAGAAGAATTTATGGGGCACCAGTGGCCATATGGGAGTCTATGGATATACTATTGTTAGTGAAAATCTCACCTGCCCCTTTTATCTCTTTCTACAGACCGTTATCTATACGAATGAGCCTATCACAAATAGCGTAGGGAGCCGAAGTAAACTGCACAAGAGGAGTATACTACTTAGAGTAGAGAAGTATTTAAAGGACTCAGAGGGCTACCTAGATAGATATAGGTAGATAGGCTCATAATAGGATCGAAACCTTATAGATAACGTAGATGTATAGCGAGTAGGCTAGTATAGCGAGTAGGCTACTTATCATAGAAATTCGAACTTCTACATTTCAACACTATTATCTCCACTATCTATTATAGAAACTCCTTCTAAAGAGACCTAGATTATTATAGCCCTTTAATTAATGAAATCCGACCCGTCTTTAAGTGTATAACGCGCTACTACGTTATACGGAGTACCTCGAACAATACTTACCTACCGCCGGAGCGGTACCCTATCTTAACGTAATACTATCCCTAACTTAACGAAGTTAATAAAGCTAGAGGAGGAGACGATAGTTTAGTATATATTAGATCTCGATACGCGATCTTATCCTCCTCGGTTAACTAAGGTAGAAGATATAGTAAATCGTCTCCTTATAGACCGCGGCGTACTACTTATTAGACTACGATAGGCTTCGAACTTTATTAAGCGCGAACTATAACTTCGGACGTAATTCTTTCGTAAATATAACTATTAGAGGGCCTAATACGAAGATCTAGCTATAATTAACGCGTAGTTTCGCCTTATATATAATATAATCGCGAAGTATAGTATTCTAGACTAAGACGTATATAACTTTAACGAGACTAGGTTTATAATAGACGTTATCTTGTCTACGATAGTCGTTACTTCATCTAAAAGACATTCTAATATAAAGATAAAGTAACTAGATAATCGGGAATAGATAATAGTAATTTAAGAGGTCGAGGCGATAGGGTTTTATATACCACTCTTTATTATTATTTTAAGTAAATTTCATCTCTTATCTTAGTACGAAAATAGGGTTCTACTACGTAACTAGATAGTTACTATATCTTCTAATAGCTAGATAACGAACGAGAGAGGTCTAGAATAGCTTTAGTACTTCGATTAATATACTAAGTCGCGTATTTCTAGTAGTTATTAACTATTAGTACTAGATAGGTATAAAAGTCACTACTCCGTCGATTTCGAGCTATATTATAAGGAGAATAATATTACTATACTTTATATATTAGCTTATTTATCTTATATTCTCTAGCCTCTCGACGTTAGGTACTTTAGCCCGCTAAAAAAGGCGTACGACTAATAAATTAAGAGAAGAATAAAGGCTAGAACTACGTATATTACTAAGGAAGACTTCTTCTCGGCCTTTATTACGGTATTTAAGTAAGTAATAACTACTTAAAACGTCTAGAAGGGTTTTTAGGGGGCTAAATTAATCTCTTATAACTCTATAGCGGTACTCTTAAAGCTAGATATTATATTAAAGATACTAATACCGCTAGAAACGGCCTTAGAAGAACCTATAACCTAGATAATAAAGACACCTACTAATATAATTAAGGCGTCTTTATAGACTTAACTTATTACTAATTAGATCTCCTATTATTAAGGAAGCTCTCTAACGTCGATTATTAAAGCTATAAACTAGCTAGCGAAGGGGATATAGAGTATTATACATTAGATAAGTCTTTTATAATCTAAGAACTATATACTTCGAGAGGAGATATACACCCTTAGTCGACGTCGTAGGGCTAAAAAAGTTCGTCTTTAGGAAGGCGGAAGTACAATAGTATCCTAGGGATAGTAATAGAGATCCTGAATCGAGGTAGTTATTAAGATTAAGTAAGAAAGGTCGCGTAGTAGTAGTAGTAAATCTTCGGCTCCGGCGACTTAATAATAGTATAGTATCTATAGTAACGTTAGATATAACTTAAGAACGTATTAGATAGATATCTCTACTACTAGGGAAGAGGATTCTAAGTAGTTATAAATAATTTAACGCGTTATAGTTAAGTATAGACAAGAAATATCGTAGTAGTCCGGTTAAGGTAGTCTACTCGCTATACTAGCCTACTCACTATTGTAATGGGGGAGAAAGGCAAGCTGGAACGTGATTGGTGGAATTGGCCTGTACAATGTACAGGTAGGCACTCTTGATCATTAGTTAGTGGGGACACGGGCATTAGGTCTAAGTTTTCCTTTCTTTTTCCTTAAGTAGAGAAGGATACACCGTGAGATACGGTAGAGAGCAATTAAGTTATCTATCTAGTTATAGAACCTATCTAATTAGGGCCTTCTATATTATTGTTATTATTATTGAGCGATAGTCGTTACCCCTACTACTATGCCCACCGCCGTACGAGTTAATACCTCTAGCTAAGAGCCTCGCCCTAGTTCATTAGTGCCTCTAATAAGATGAAGATTTAACTGCGACGAACGCCTCGAAGAAGGGTATCTCTCTACGAGCGGTAGGACAACCCTAGTACGAAAACCGAACCGAAGATTGATCGAAAACGATTGAAAATAACTATATAACTATATAACTAAACGAAG